CGAAGAATTCGCAACGACGCGGCGTCTCCTTTGGAAAAGAGGGACCCATAAAATCCGGCGGAAAAACGGTCGTCAAAGCTGTAATAGGAAAAATCGTTGACTTTCACGCGGAGACATACGTACTATACATAGATCGTATGCGTTTTCCCAGACACTCCTTGTTCACTTAGCCAAGATCTGATAGCGGCTAACTACAATCGAAGTTTTCTCTCCGATCGCCGCTATTATTTACAATATAACGTGTAGGCGAACGTGCACGCGCGCGAGCGAGTTGCATGCCGGCTGTCGATGTATGCCGAACAGATTAAACGGATATACAGCTAAGACACGGAATATGGCCGAACCATAGACCGTGCTGCCTCACGGGGTCAGGATTACGACACATTGGATCAACCGCATGCCTTTTGAGCTCTGCAAGGTTCATTCATCTTGCTCGCCGGGTACTGCCTCTCCAATCTACGGCCGATTATGTATTACATTAATATCTAAGTCAGGCTACCTTACTGGGGACCAATGCTAAATACGTAACCTCTTAATACCTCTGATATCCTCTTCTGACTAGTTCGAGACTAATTTTCTAAATGCAAGTTGTTTTACAATTTATTTAATCATTTTACTTAACCTATAATTTTGTGGGCACCGTCATTTGCAGCTACCGGATTATTGCTTCATTAAGACTACTAGAGGAAGTTGAAGTATTAGGCATATTTCAACTTCATCCTTGATTATACAAATTATTAGAATTGAGTCCAAAAACCAATTGCAATAAAAATACGAGTCAGGTTTATCATTCTCAAAGTAGGTCATAGGTTAACAAATCATGAAAATTGCAACTCAAACAGAAAAATAAATTTTGTTCTAACTTGTATAGTCCCAAAGAAGCAATTAGTAAAAATATTACTACTCTCCATAAGAGTATATAATAAATTGTCTTTAATTGCTCTAATTAGTATTTATACCCGACACGTATATTGCCAAAGAAAAAAACGGCTAAAATTAAATCGGCGAAGCGAACCAGTAAATTGAGAAATGAAATTAAGAAAATCAATTTGCGGTAACCTTAATAATTCACGAATATTTCATTAACACGGTTATTTCTCGGTCCAGGTTGATCGAAAGAAAATGGACGATTCTCATAAAATAGATTCGATCTTTGTGTGCCGCAGCAAGAGGAGCCAGCCCTCTCTCGATCATACCATTGAATTACGATCCACCATATATAAATTACAATAAGAAGCCGGTTACGGCGGCAACGGCAAGTGCAACGCCTTATAAACCAGAGGCCGATGCAACGAGGACCGAGGTGTGCGCAGCCAGGTCGAAGACAATCGGAATCGGCTCGTATCGAGGGCTTATCTACTTAATCTGGCTGCGATACAGCACGCCTATAAATACCGCGATTCGTAGCCGCGGGTCGTACGCGTCGCATTCATCTCGCGATCGGTTACGAGTGGCTCGTGTACGCACGCCTACGCCGAAAATCGTTATTCATCGCGGTAATTGCCCTCGCGAACTGGCGATATAAGCAGGTTTCGCTGACGAGGCGAGAATTCAGGGAGCCTCGTTATCGATCGTCGACGACCTTCTCGATCTCGATCCGTCGATTTGTAACCGAGGAGAGAATCGATTTCATCGTGTGACGTTCACGCTCGACCCTTCTCGACATCGATGGAAAATTGCAGCATTAATCCTGCTTCTGCGTGTCTTATTGCTCGAGGAGGAGACAAATACGTTCGAGGTCCCGAGCTGAACCGCAAAACCGATTCGTGGCGTTCGTACCACGGAAAGATTGGATAATTGAGCAGCGATGAAACGGCCGGCTTAGACGGAAAATAATAACCGTTTCTACTTTGTAGCCCATTAGGTCTCGTTAACGACCGCCTGTCAAACGGATAATTATTTATACTGGCCCAGGAAAAGAATCGTGTTTGTTAGCCGGTGACCACGCCGTGAGTTACAGACACGCTGATATTCGCGCTGCCCCCTCTCGTATCGCCGTTTTACTACACCGTTGATATTTATGTGTATCGCGCCATGCATCATATCGCTTCGGTCCCGTATTGTATTTATGGCGGACGCACGAAAAATGGCACAATTAACAGTTCCAGAATGGGGCGCGCAGCTGCTACAAAAACTAACCCCCCGGTCGAAATTCATTTTCCGATATCCTGATTAACGTCCACGATAATTCCATCGATATCTTCCATGGACGAATTAAAAGCCATTCGGGGAGGAATCGTATCTTCCTTGTCGACGCACGATAGATGTTGCAGTTAAAATTCATCATACCGTCCAATCATTTTAACATCTTTTATACTTTAATTGTCTTGATTACATTAGGACAATATACCATAATCATACTAAGATTGTCCCCCTTCTTCTACAAATTCCAAATAAACTCTACAGTAAAATAATTGTTCGATTTCGTTCAGCATGTCTCCTCAGAAAATTCGAAGAATACAATTATACTAAATTGCCAGTAATATTAAATTCATGTTACTTCAAGTAATGTCTCCAATTTCTCCAAACCAATGTGAAAGTATTTGGTCATTTTTATATCCTTGCAAATCGTAAGTTATCAGCAGAGCTTTCATCGTTAAACGATTTCGTAAATCGAAAAACCCACCCAGTAGCTAAGATACGGAATTCGAGTATTTCGCAAAACAGCATTGAGCCAACACAGACAATGAAGTAACCGGAGCTAATATCAAATATAAAAGGGCACGTACAGTATGTACCGTATTAAGAAACCGAGTCCACTTCGTAAACGGCATTGTACGACAAAATACGTATCGTGAAACACAAGGAGGTGTATGTATTTATGACTGTGCCATGGCGGCGTATGGAGTGACACGCGTTAACAATCCCACTGACGATTTGCAGCATGTAGTCTACCCACGCTGTCTACGGGGCCACATGGAATTGAAATCTATTGTCGCGCCACACGTAGCCGTTCGCTTTGGAGAACTTCCCTTTGAATCGAATCCGGTTCGCTACCGTGCTGTCAGCTAGGTAAAAATTCTAACGAACGTCGCACGGAAACGACACGGGTACAACAAAACCCGCTGTATATTTAAACAAAGAGTTTCTTTAAAAAGTCTCCGAGCTAAGAGACAGACGGGGAGAAAAATCGAGCTCCTTTATTAAATTTTTCCTATTCAAATGAAATATTTTAAATGCAAATCTACGTGATCGTTGATAAGGCAACGAAGATTCTTCGATACAACTGAAGGAGGCATCGTTGAAATGTTAACGTTTCGAGGCTGATCCGCGTTTTGCATGCAAATCAAAACGGAATAATAACAGAGACATGCTTCAAATATCATGAAACTGATCGCGTACTGGAAAATGACTTCCAAAGTTATGTTTTATACATTTTGTGATGAAAATATCGTTCATGTACGTAAATTAATGTTATTCATCCACAACTACGTTATTGAATTCTGTAACGCTGTGATCATGACTAAAATATATTTATAGCATTAATATTTGCAACGATAATAAAATACTGAATTTCAATCGATTTTATTTTGCTTCCAATTTTATTTTCGAGTTAAATCAAAGTCCTTCCCGGTTTAACACTTCATCGAATTCGACGGCTTCCGTAAAGAAACAGTTAAATACTCAAGACTCGCTTCTCTGAAAGTCGACCAACGTTACGACGCCGTTACATCATGTACGAACGTTTCTTCGCCAAAGTGACCAGCATGTTACGTGTAAAACTCGTGGTAACACCCACGTTCGCCTTCAAACGCTTCATTTCGCTTCGCGAACGACCTTTAAACGCTCGCTTCCCTCCTCGTTTCGTTGCTTGTCAAAGAACGCGAATCGATTCTGTCGACATTTTTACATTCGCGTCGTATTTATTTTATGTTTATACAATTCACAAAGCTGCGAGTATTTTTTAAAATACTTCTTCAAAATCACATGTATAAATTCTACAAGTTTGTTAGAATTTACATAACCTCATTTTAGAGCTTGAAGATAATCGATCTTGCTGTTACGTAGATTGTTAAATTAACTAGCTACAAGTTTTAACCGTTATTGTCATCTATGTGTGTTTTACTAAGTTGCAAAGCATTTTTTAATTTTAGGAAATTGTTATATTTATATAAACGAAAATTTAATGATTCCAATAAAGAGTAGATGTACTTCAAAGAATAGAATGTTTGGAGTATCATGAATAATGAAACATCAATAATAAAACATCATCAAGAATAAAAGATTAAATTTGATTATTGCAGAAAAGTTAAGTAGGAGACCCACACGTGAAGCATGCATTCGAGAGTAGGTTAATTATCTGGTACGTCAAAAGTAGTTAGGTTCCGACAATAAATCAGCAGATTTTCTGAATTAAGATAGCTAAAGTGCCGGTCGGTTCTCAGCTGATAGCCGCAAAGTGGTAGCGGCTGAACGGCGTCGATCAGATAGCGGTACCCCGGATCGATTTTGCCATGGTTGTTTAACAAAAGTACAAGGTACCGCGAGGAATGGTGATTTATGGTAATTCCCGTGATTGTAGAAAATAAGGGAACAGAGAGACGGACCGTGTCAGCGATGAACGGAATCGAGATGCAGAAACGGTCGAGTGAAAAAGACCGGCGAGAGAGAAGGGAGAGAAGAAACGAAAGAAAGGAAAAATACGAGACGCGATTGGCATTCGGTACCACAGCACCCACTTGGTTCGTGTAACAGGTATACCAAAGGTACTAACGTAATTACTATGTACGTACAGACTGGTCCCGTGTATTCGCCCTCGTATAGAAACTACGCTCGCCATGGCTAATCCAATTAAATAGCCAATCAGATGGTCGATACGGCGCGGTTAATTAACGGCACATTCTTATGCATGTACCTGGCAATCTCGTTAGGTCATATACGTACATACGAGTAGCCGATCTACTACTTATCATTATACTAGGTGTCCAACAGTGCTTGCTGTGGATTTACTATGTGATGTTTCGAATTTCGTAATGTATATAATAGTCACACATACATACCTTGGATCTCCTTCAGTGATGTAACCTGCAACAAAATAAGTCGGTGGTTAGAATTTATCTGATTGTAAGATGGTCAATTATAAATAATATAGCAAACTCACAAATTATTACAATATTTTTATGTTATTATATTTTATTGTGTAAGTGCAGTAAAAGCACATATGTCACTGCACATAACATGTATCTCACACATAACCGCATCATAACATAACATAACCTTATATTAACTTGAACCTAAAGTAATATAAAGTGTCCAGCACCAAAGTACGCTATAATCAGTACTAAAAATAAGCAAATGAAATGACAAATAAAATGTTATTCAAGTAATCGAACAACAGCGAACAGCATGCATGGAACGCATACGGTGCGTCAATCTTGAAAGCGTTAAGGATCGTTCGACGAAAACGCATGGTGGCATAAGATCCGTTTTCAGAGTAAACTCATAAATATGCAGTTTGTTATTCCGTGGCTAGCGTGGCTCGCATTTTTCCTGCTCTCCACCTTTTCTTCGACACGGTACACGAGAGGCGATTGAAAATTCATACGACTCGAATCTTCAGAGACCCCTGTTTATCTTAAACGGATATATCGAAGTCGACACAGTTTGATGCATTGCATAACGTTAGTTCATAGCCGTATATTAATATTTTATCACATGTATCTTCCAAAATAAATCTTCGGATAAAACTTGTTAATATGCAATTTTGCTCATTTTTTCATACTTGTCAGATAATTTAACGAATTACACAAAATAATTGATGAGACGATTATAACGAAGGGTCTCATCAAAAATTCATGCAGCCATTTTAACCTCTTCGAACTGTACCATGAATAATATTTTATAATACCTCAAAAACTCCGACATTTCGTGACAAGCTACTACTGAAAAAATATACGGAGCTGGTAAATTAACAATTGCTGGTAGATTAAAAATTGCATAAAGATTAATCAAGATTGATTTTCGCAAGGGTGGTCTAAAAGGAGCTTTCTACTGTAAATAAATTATTAACGGAGCATCGATAGGAGGCACGTGAACCGGCGGTGAAATCGCGAGGCAGAGATCGGACAGGGCCAAATCGCTAAAGATCGACGCGCGATGGTACAGTCGGCTCGAACTAATTATCCGTCCATAAATGGAATAGAAACGTTAGCGAGCGCGTACTCGGTCGCAAGCTTGCTAGATCTAGCGGTTTAGCGCGAGCGTTAAATGAGGACGAGACCGCTTTGCCTCGGCACAAAGTTCATGTGAAAGGGGAACCAATGAGCATGAAACATGCGGAATATACACGCGTCCACAGAATTCAGTTCGTGTATATTGGATAAAAGACACAAACACACACAGATCATGCAAACGCTTGGAGACTTAAGGAGAACTGAAAACGCTCTTTGTACGATGATCCGCAAATCTAATGGGCATCTAGGCAAGATTTATCAGATTGCTGCTCACCGTTAATCTAACCGCCGGATTGATACGTGAAATTTTCCACCGGCTTAAGTTGTCTCTGTAGTACCATTGAAGTTGTCCGTAAATTGTTTCGCGAACAGTCTGGGAACTATGAACTCGCATACGTATTGATTTACGTTCTCGCGTGGATTCAACAAGCGGTCTTGTTACAGACTTCTATATTATTTATGAAGTTCTGTTGGCTGGCTGTGTGTCACGAAACGTCACGATTCCGATGGCGTTAAGATATAAGTAAAAGAACGGAATGTCTTCTTTCGAGCATCGCCTGTTACCGTCGGTTTTGTACTGTCAGTGAGTCTGGTACTCTCAAGACAGATGCGGCAACCGTACAGGACTCTCGTTAACTCTTAAATCTTCCTTGTAGAAAATTGACATTTTTAATTTCCACGTTCGATGATGTTTGAACTCTTAGAACACTTGTACACGAGTACACGCGTTTTTTCCATTTTACGAGGTAGTCAAAGTGTTAAATTGGGCTACGCTCGTTCTCTTTGGCACGATCGGTCAGAGAGTCTAGGAAATCGCACGTTAATTTCCCTTTTTTTCCCCCTCGTGTTCCCTTCTTTCTTCGTTTTTTCTCTGGTATCTCCCGCTATCCGTTCGCCACAGGGGAAATTGGTTTTTTCCATTGCGCGGCGACGAGCTGGCACGAAAACACACGGAATACAGGCAACCAAGTCGGCGATGCCTTTTTTCCAAACAGCAAAACCTCGATTATACTCGAGGGGAGTGCAAGTGCACCGTTTAATCGCGAAAGAAGCGCAATTTGTCGATCCTCCCATTAAATTGTTTCGGCTTTTCGCTGAATCGTTTCCACGTTGCCCTGCGACTTTCTAACTTCTACGTATCGCTACGGTTCTCTACGAATTATCCGATTCAATTCCATTTTTGCCGGCTAACACCGATTCCACCGTCCTCGTTACTTTGATATTTAATTTTTTATTTCAGCCTCGCGAATTTGGGACGCAAGGAAATTTGTAGGACAGTTGGAAATTTAGGGATTAAGAATGTGGAAATTTGGGGGTTAGACTGTTAGAAATTTAGGGACTAGGTAATGTTAAAATTTGGGGGTTGATCAGATAAAAATATAGGAATTAAGAATGTGGAAATTTTAGGGTTGGAGAGTTAGAAATTTAGAGACTTGGAAATGTGCAAATTTGAGGGTTGATCAGATAGAAATACAGGGGTTAAGAATGTGGAAATTTGGAGGTTGGACTGTTAGAAATTTAGGGACTTGGCAATGTGCAAATTTGGGATTGTTCAGTTGAGAATTTAGGGAGAATTAAATGGGAGTAATTAGGAAATTTGAGGAAGTTTAGGGGTTTGGAAATGTGGAGAAGTTGAGGGTTCTGATACATAAGAGTTTCGAGGTTTCAAACTTGATTAAATGTGAGAAATTTCGGAAAATATCAATTACAAGATTTGAATAATTAAAAATTTTAAATTTGAATTCATCGAAATTAATTTTAGAATTTTTAAGTGTCAGAACTTAAATTCAGAATTGATCTGAAGCTTCAAAGATTTTACAAGTCACTGTAAAAATATTAAAATCCAGAAACTTGGGTGCATTGATAAAATTGGAGAATTGTAGAACTGAATATGTGGAGAAAATCTTGTGAAGGTAGGTCTTCAATATCGAAGAAGCTGCACGCGCAGCAGCGTTCCATATTTATGAACAGAAGGGATCAGTAGAAGCGAAAGGATTCTCGGTGTCCATCACGCTCACTGAATGGCGCGTGAAATTCGTACGAGACTGTTTGGCTAATGGACAGATAAAGGGTCTCGTTGACAATCTTTGGCATTTTCAATCCTTTAATGCACGTCATAAGATACTGATAAGGCTTCCCGAAAGAGGGGGAGAGGATCCTCGAGCATCAGGCTACGTCCTTCTCGGGATCCTTTCACGCTCTCGTTTTGCATGTATGGTCCCCCACACGCTCGTCAGTCTCTACATATACGAGTTTGCGCTATTCCCTTCGAGCAATCTCCGACGGTACTACCAGGGCTGGACAATAACTTAGATAAGGGTCCAAAGGTTCGCTTTAATACCGTGATTTTTCAAAGTGGCCGCATGAGAAAGCTCGGTTCGACTCGCGGCGACCGGAGCGTCTGAAACACGTTCGGAATCGGTGTCTCCCATTTCTGAACATCGCGATACCTTTCACTGAAACGGCGTACTCCGTAGCGCGTTCTTGGAAATGATCTTACAGTCCTTGGATGCTCGATTTACTAATTTATTCGATCACCGTGCATTCTACCGGATAACGACCGGGTCAATCATTCGACTAATCGTTGATAACTTCTATTTAGCTCGGTTCTTGCGTTTGGAGTCCTGAATATACTCGAAAACGAGGTGAGTGGCTCTTAACAAAACGATATGTAGCACCGAAAACATTTGGGACATAGAAGATAACTAAAGTGCACGACGCGTTTATGTTGCAAATTTTCTCAGAATTCTTTCAAATTGGTCGGAGAATGTAATTAGTTAATCAACGTTCGAGGTATCTCGACTTCTACCCCAAACGCGATACGCTTATTGCGGAGAAGTGGTCACGACAGATTTTCCTTGTCAAGGGACAAAAAAGGACAAAATTGAAGAAGTCGAAGACATCGGTAAGAGGGAGATCCAAAGGGAAGAAGAAGGAAGGAGAGAAGAGGTCAGCAACGGGAGAGGTAGTAGGGAGAACTCTGGTTCTGGAGAGGGTTTCAGTATGGGCATGCACGATGCACGTAGCGAGATAACTGGTTTCGCGGAGCCTGCTATCATGGCACTCTAATTACCAGCCATTACACCCGGCGAACCCCTCTGAATTGTTGCGTTCTCTACCTACACTCGTACTAACCACTCGACCACCGAGACCGGTGTGCCCTGACCGCAGCTTTAAATGCAGAATTAATATACCGGCCGGCACTCATTTTGTGCCGACGTTGTTGCACGTGGTTTTCTTTTACCCCTACTCTTACTCATCTGTCGCCGTTCTTTCGCCGTATATCTTCCCTTCTTCGTTACGCTATTTCCTTCTATTCGTTCGTCTTGCGTTTATGATGTACATTTCATTGATTATGACACTTGCTAATTCACTCATCACACTCGTTCAACACCTTGCACTATTTTCAAGAGCTAGCTTTCGAGTTCATTTATAATTTTTATGGTCAATGATTGCAGATTATCGAATTGAACATTTCGACTTTCTTCTACCGTTTTAATATTGTAGCTATTAGTTCTGACTGATCTGACGATAAATCGTAGTGCAAGGTGTTAAGTGTCATACACCTAATGGAACTCATTCATTTAAACCATGTATCTGTTTACAATTTCAATCATAATTTCAATCATTTTTATAAGCTACTGAGTCTTTAAGTTTCTAGTCTTAGGGACCTAGAAATTATTCCCTATATCTCGTACTCTTCAAGACATCCTCTGTACAGTTCGTTCGGAAGGTCCGCAACATCAGGTACTTAAACGACAGTCCAAAACTAATAGGACATAAACTTTGCATACGTAGTTGCATATCTAACTTAGAAATTGTTCGTTCTGTCTCGTTTTACTCTTCAAAAGA